TTCAAGCTTAAAGTTTGTACACTCTTAATATAATATTTGAGTAGGCTTATTTTTATTCTCTCTTGAATAAAAAATAAACAAATTCTGAAGTTCAAAATGAAGTACCAAAAATTTTAAAGCAGGCCATAAACTGCAAAGGCGAGAATTACAAACATACATATTCGTTATTAAAATAAACACTCAATATAAAAAAATCCATAAGAAAATCAGCGAATTAGGATTAAATCTAATCTTGTATATAAATATATAGTCAAAATCGGAGGAAGCTGAATGAATGTACAGAGCGGAAAGGACCGCAAATTTGTGAAAAGCGTCCTCTATTGGACAATTTTGAAAGCTAACGTTAACTGTTATATAAATTTTCTATACAATTTGGGAGATCTTTCAACATTTCAACAGAAGAACACCCCGAGTATCCTTGTTTCTATTTTTTTACTTGTGCAATAATGGTTACAAGGACAACCCGATTATGAGAATCTATAAATGACTGTGTGGGTTGGGTTGGGTCTGCTAACATGTTGACCTTACTGGGCTCGCAATCAGTTCGGGTTACGTTGATACAGATGACGACGAGGAGGATGAGACTTTGGCCGGGAGGATGGGCAGACAAAGCGTTGACAATGTCCTAAACAAAAGAAACAGAAAACAGACGAGCGGATAATGGACGTGATGATATTGTGGGTGGAGGACGAGGGAACCGCGAGCAATGGCAAAACGTATGTATTTACATAGCTTACATGGTCGGGATAAGCCCCATTGTTTTATGCATGCAAACAAAAACAATCCGAGGGACTGGGGTGAAACATTCACGGAATGTGAGTGACGATTTTCGGTTGCATCTGCATGGATAGTTCCCTGATCTTTATAGGGGTATAAGGTATAATTATATTCCAGGGTACTACAGAAATCACTTTTAACCGTAATTGTATGGAAATGTAATTTGAGTGAAAGAAGGTTCGGTATCTCACTGGATTGTATCTTTCTTGAAATTTTGTATACCTTAAGGTATTAGAACAAGCTTGTTGGGACTTAATGAATTTCTTCACCATAAAAGGTCCGTTGGCAAAATCTTGGAGGATTTTAAGCTAGTCAGCAAATTACACTTTCCTTTTGCCTTGTTAATTTTAATCAATACCTAATTTTTTGAGTGCCATGAATTACCTAAAAAATTGTATCAGCTACTAAATATGTAAAAGATTCCAAAAAAGCAAAGCGAATGATTTTGAATTTCCCTGATAGAATTTAAATAATTTTAATTTGTTGGTTTGCTTTGTGGGTCTAATACAAAATGAACTCGCTTCACATAAAAATTGAACTAAATTATAATTTACACAACTAATAGTGGTACAGAACTAGAGCAGTCGCAGTGTGTTATCGCCACTACAGCTCCGAATGGGCGTATTCCTCGTGCGTTGAGCTCTTCTCTTTGGGCACGATGAACAGGCCCTCCGCCGTGGTCCAGCGCGTGCCGTGCTGCGGCTTGTGCACGCCCACGATCTCCATTTGGCCGGAGATGGGTCTGCCGTAGGAGCGGCCGGACATGCCGAGGTACATGCCGGTGTCGATGTGGCGCAGTCGCACATGGGCACTCCGCATCCAGCTGTCGTTGGAGCAGACCACCTCCCAGTGGTCGCCGGTGTCCCCGAGTCCGTCGGTTCCGTAGGCGGACACCTCCTGTTCGCCGGAGAGCGGCGACGAGAAGTGGTGCGAGTGCAGGTTCTTCTTGGTGGACAGATGCTCCAGGCGCACGGTGGACCCGCAGGCGATGGGCTCGCCCCGTTCGCACAGCTCGCCGGTCTGGGCCTTGACCACCCAGTGGCTGTTCACGTCCTCCTTCTGCTCCACGCCCGTCACCGACTGCTGCCCAGATCCGGACCCGTACTTCACGTCATGGGAGTGCAGGCGAAAGGAGTAGTCTGAGTTCAGCAGCTTCAGTATGGAGCCGCAGGTGACCACATTGGAATCCGTGGCTGTTTCCGGAGTGGAGAAGATGGTGTACCAAGATAAACATTAATGCTGGGCGACCATGAGCACCAAAGGTTCGAAAAGAGCGGCGTGGCCAATCACAGAAGACCACATAGACGCAACTTTCCGCGGGGTCAAGACTTACCGGCACCGCTGGATAGGCTGCTGACCAGAGCCAGTCCCGCGAGGAATAGTCCGTGCTGCATCGCGTCCTTTCCGAGCTACCTTATCTTATCCTGAGCACTTAAGTTAGCCAATCTGTGCCGGCAATCTCGATTAAACTTCTCGTTGAACACGCAAACAATTGGATTTTGTGACAGCTCAGGGATTGAATGCCAGTGTGACCAGGCGTTTCGCAATTCGCATAACCAGTTTCCCCAAGAAATACCAAAACTACAAATGAGATACTTTTTTCTGGTATTTGTATTCTCCAAAATTATAAAATATTCAAATCATAAAGGGTATTCTCTAAGCAATTGTATTGTTTAATCGATGAATTTCAAACAAATTGAACTTCGTTGATCCCCTTTTTATATAGCAAGAAAGTTTTTTTAGTGCTTAAATCTTTAGTTATAAAGAGCAAACAAAAATTAATGGATGCTGGAATATATAAATTTGTACTCACGTTGCCATTAGATTAACATCAAAATATACTCATTCAGAAGAAATACTAATTCATCTCAATTAAAATATAGCTAATAAAAAACAGCTGTTGAAGTGTTAAATTGAAATTGGTGCTTATTAACATTTTTTGTTTGTTTAAAAAAACTAGTTCCGGCAACGTTAAATCGTTAGTATTTTCTGTGCGACTGTCAAATGCGGTAACACTGCAAAATTGCAAGCAAATTTCTCTTAAAAAAGGCTGAAAAACTGAGAAAAATTGAAATCAAAGAAAAATTAATGGCCCACAAGCGTCTGTTCGTCTACGCTGTGCTACTGGCGATATGTTATTTGGTTGGCGTGACATGGGTAAGTCCCCCAATTAGCCAGATCACATGACTGGTCCAGTAATCTGAGTGTTGTTCCGATCCAAAACAAAAAAAACAAAGGCTGAGACTGCAGCGCAAACGCTGCCAGTGATTGGTAGCAGCAACAACAACAATGCCAGCCAGCTGAGCGCCCCTCCTGCAGTTCCAGTGGCAGCAGCAGCACAACCTGCCAAGCAAACGGGCGCCAATCCAGCTCCCACTGAAGCGCCTACGCCCAAGGTCGTGCCCAAGTCGTCGCCCGCTGCTCCCGGCCAGAGTTCTTCCAATACCAGTAGCGCAACAGCGCCATCTACGGAGTGGTAAGTGCTACTACACCAGCGGTCAACACTATAGTATCTGAGCTTTAAAATACATTTTAATATACACAAATTGGTATGTTTGTTTACTTCTTCACCCTAATTATATACATTAAGTCCAGTCTTAGTAAAAAACAAACAAACAATATTTTATATATTTAATCTTTTAAAATCGTTTAATAAAGTTAGTATTCGATTCTTCCCTTAAAATACGTTTCATTAGACTAACTTGTATTTTTAGCAATTTAATAATTTTACAAATCAAAAGTTTGTTTTTAAACACTTAATGAGACTAATGATTTTATTCAAAAGTTTTTTAACAGTAAACCAAAAGTAGCAGCCAACCGTTTTAAATTTGTTAGGAAGAAAATTGAAGTACTATTTAAATTTTATAATTTAAAATGCAAAGAACTATAAAACTGGATACATTTTAATTCTAGCTAAAAAATATTTTGAAAATTTAAAGTTTTTCAGTCTTTAAGATATGTTTGTCCAACAAATTTGTATATAAAAGGGGGAATATTGTTTAATTAATTTAAATAAATTAAACAAAATGGTCCGGACTACTATATTTTATATATCTCAAAACTTTTTATGCACGTTACAATTGTAGTGTCTGTGCTGGTGCCCTGCTGCCACGTTTGGATGCCAATGGCAAGGAGCTGCCCATCTGCGCCGAGTGCAAGTGCTCACATGTGGCGAGAAATACTACGCTGATCAAGGTTGGCATATATTAACCGACTAGAGGTTTCCTTACTTAACGAATTGCTCTTATTTCTAGGTCGTGGTGATCATTGTGATTTGGATCATCTCCATTTTAGTGATATACATGCTTTTCCTGATGTGCCTGGATCCGTTGCTGAATAAGCGAGTGAAGGCGAATTACCAGGAGCACACCAACGAAGATGTACATAGCAAGCATTCTAGATACAAGGGCATTCAGTATAGCCTCCTAGTTACAGCCCATGGCGAAGATGATGATGAAGATGACGATGTTGACGCCGATGTGGCTCAACTAGTTGGCAATAAAGAAGCACCTCACTTTTAAATAGATTTTAATTTCCACAACCCCCTTTGTTTCATTTTCTGTTTGCGATTTTGATTGAGTTTTTAACCCACACCACCAGATACACACTCACCACACTAACCAAAGATCCACGCTTTGAACCGGAATTTTATCACGTCAGCCCGACTAATTCGAAAATTTTCCCCCCCTTTTCCAAACAGGATGAGCCAGCGCCGCCTCTGCCCGCCGTGAACAACCAGGAGCTCAGTGCCAGAGCAAATGTCCTCAATCGCGTGGGCCACCAGCAGGACAAGTGGAAGCGGCAGGTGCGCGAGCAGAGACGCCACATCTACGACAGGCACACCATGCTGAACTAAGAAGGCGATCGATTTGCGGCTGGAGGAGATATGAAGGGAGCATGGGCGACTTAAGACACATATTCCAAGCAGAAATCCTCTACAGAACTCCACTTATTTGGATCAAATTACATGTATATTTAGTCAGAATTATTATTTTAAATAAATTATATAACCAAAATACGCTTGGAAGAAGTGCGTTTTTATACTTATTTAAAAGCTTGTCTTGTTTAATATAAAATTTAAGTCAAGTACTTTTATTGGAAAAAGCATGACAGACTTGAATCTGTTCTTTAAACGAGCTCCAAACTATCATTCATTCCAGTTCTTCTAATTTAAATATACGCTGGGAACACACAGGACTTCAAATGAATAGTCAAACAGTGTGTATTTTTTAGCCACATTTATTTTTAATATATCATGTAACCAAATTTTCCTTGGAGAAGTGATTTTTAATGCATACAAAAACCGCCGAGCTAGACCTAAACTACGTTCATTCAGGATCGGAAATTCTAGTATCCCTTGATGGTTTCGGCGAACGTCCAGTTCTCGTTGACCTGGAAAGGCCCCTCCACGCCACATCCGTTGGCGCTGCACACGCCCACCGTGTATTGGGAAATGTTGCGGGTATCGCGGTAGTATAGCACTTCCATGCACGTGCGGATCTAGAAAAAAAAGGAAACATGTTATTTTTTATTTGTTTAAATATAAGTTTAGCTGTTGATTAATTCCGGGCTTAAAAATAATTGTTTCGTTTAAGAATTCTAATTTATACCGTATGAAATTTTATAAAGCGTAGATACTACATTTATGGTTTAATTCAAAAAATAAAACGTTATGACAGGAAATCTTTTTAATCAATTAACAAAATATTTTTAACGCCTAGAAGAATTATGTTAAATAAATTTTTTTTAGCTCAACACAAACAGGTTAAAATCTACTTTAAAAACTTTTACGATACAACTTTCTAAGTTGCACCGAAAAACCCATTTTTATGGGTAGGAATTCAGAAATACATACCAGTTGGGAAGCCTCTACGGCGGTAAAGTCCCTGTCCTTGGGTTTCTTCTCACGCACAAGCGGAATGGCCAGATGACGTGCGAAGCCGGTGGCCACCACATAGTCCTCGTATGAGCGTCCGCGGAGATCCACGTTGGCTAGGTACGGAGTTCCTTCGTTGTCCACGCCACCCACCACCACATCGATGTAGAGTGGATTCATGCGGGAGCGCCGATTGTAGAGCACTCGGGTCATCCAGCTGGCCAGCGACTTGGGCTTCATCTCGATGTTGTCGTCGCAGCACTGATCCTCGATCATCTTCTGGTCGATGCTGCGCTTGATGGACTGGATGTCGGCGAAGTCACCGCTGCCACCGAGCAAAATGTTCTTGTTGATCTTAAAGACACGCTCGATGTTCTGGTAGCGGGCCAAAGATCCGTACGACACCAATGTGTCGGCGGCGAGCATCACGCCCTCGTCGTAGCGAATGCCCAAAACGGAGGAGCCCGTGGTAATGGAAGATCTACGGATAATTTAACAGGGTTTACAAAAGGGGTTAAGCAAGTTAATATATTCTGTTCCTACGTGTTGTGCTTGGTTCCATAAGGACCCGCTGTGGTCAGTTCGCGGGGCAACTTCTGGACGGCAGTCTGTCCGCCCGTAAAGTTGTAAAACTCGCCGGGAACGGGTCCATTCTGCCACAGGGGCTGCGCCATGCAATTGTAGTTGTTCAACATTGTAATTTACTCGGTTTAGAGACTGATTTGAGGCAAAACGATGAGTTGTTTGTCGCTACCGGAGAATGACGGGCACAAATAAAACCACAGCGCGCAGTGTGGACAGATTTCGGGCGCCAGCAAATACCACAGTAACTAAAAATACCAAATATACCAAGCAATTAATATTTATGAAATTAGGTAGCACCTTTTAAAATGTTTAGTTTTAACGGAAACTTTTTGGTTTAGCTCACATAGTTGTTGAACACTGGGAACTATTTATTTAAAAACATTAAATCCTTTAAGGCGAATTTTCTGCTTAATTTTTCAGAAATTCAAAGATTTGGACGTTTTGGAAATGCCCAATCTATTGTTTTTTTAACACTGTCTGGATAAGAGTAGTACCTCGCCATTTATAAATAAGAATCACATAAAAGCCTCATTAAACGATCATAAAGTACAAGTAATTTGTGTTTCTGTGCTCATTTCTATTTTTGGCTAAAAAACAATAAAGTAATGTCAATTTTTGATCGTATTGTACTGATTATCTTATAATTGGGGCGATTTTTCCAATAGCAGATATATTTTTTGTAAAATCAAATTGATTTTTCTACGATCGACTATATCTTTAAGAACAATTCAATTTTAATTAAAAAAAATTAATTTCAGTCAGCTTGGTTCCGACATATATGTGTGCGTATACTTGCATTAGAATAAAGACTTTTTGAAAAGTTAAAATGTAGAAAACCTAGAAATGTTGTTAAAAAATTAAAAAAATTTTGTTAGTTATTGAAAAAACCCGTTCTTAATAGATAAACTTCTTGCCTTTTAAATACATGCTTTCAACCAATTTGGAGATATTTTTTAAAAATAACATTGTAATCAAAAGAATATAAATATAAATATAAAAAAAGTTAAGCTATTGCAAATAGGCATATTTTTTTTAAATATTAGACTGATTGCCTGATCACAAAATAACCATTTCAAACATTTTTGTTTTTAAGAAACGGACATATGTATTAAAAAGTATTTTTTTAATTAATAACCACAATACATTAATTAGAACATACATACTTTTGGTTAAGAAAAGTAACCTTATTAAGTCTGTTGCCTTGTTTATTATTAATCCATTTTTAAAAATAATGAAGAAGGAATATACCCCTTTCCTACTTGAAAATCAATCTAAAATTGGCCGATCAATAATAAGCATTCAATTTTTAATTAATTCTCCAGAATCAAAGGAAATTAGCAGATTAGATACATATAGAAACATTTTTTATTGCCAGTATACCAGTACACAATATGTAAATATATATGGGTATGTGAATAGTGCATGCTTTCCGAGGGGAATGTTTCGGTGCGCTTTAGCATCTTTCAGATGCCATAATACAGTCGATAATATCAGTTGCTTTATTGAGCTACGCTAAAAACAATGAGGGGGAGACCCCGCTCTTTAACACGGTACGAATACGAATAAGGATACCCTACGCAAGACTACGAGCTACTTGTCACGGCCAATGCTTGATGCTAATTCTATGGGGTTAAAGCTTCTAGTCCTTGCAGCAGCAGTAGACATTGTCGCTAGAGCTAGCTGGGGTTGTGGGCGTGTTGCCGACCTTGAGGGGCTTGCTATAGGAATGAGGACCCCGCATGAACACCTCGATGAGCTGACAGTGCGATCTGTAAAATATAGATCGATTAATAAGGATTCATTGGAGTTCAAGGTATAAATAATTTACCTCATGGTTATGTCCAAATCGGTGACCACTTCGCCGTCGCAGTTCCAGCTTGAAAACTCTGTGTTGGAGGAGGAGTTGGCCAGCTCTCCTGGCGGGGAAATCGGTTGGCAAGAGCCTGCTATGCTGTAATCCTCCTCGCCAGCGCCAGAAAAGGTTCTGAACTGAAACTCCCTGGTGCGAAAGACCTCCACAAACGGCAGATTGCGCTAAAATCGGTCAATTTAGTTAGTTACATTAAAAATTTAGTAATTTGCAATATAAAACATTTTTATAAATATATTGTAACATCATTTGTACAATCGTTTTCTATTCTGTTTATTATTTTAATCAATCTCAGACAAACAATGTGGAAAGTTATGAAGAAAGAAAATACGTATTTATTATATTTGTAATTGTACTGTAATTATAAAGATAATTGGAGAATTCACCCAAGTTGGGGTATAATAAATGCTTTTTGGGCTTGTAAATAATTAAGCAACTGCAATATTTATTTATAGTATTTATTTTTAATACTCACAATATCACCGCTCCTGCCAGCTGTGTTGAGCAGAAAGCGCACGTTGTTGAGCAGCGAGGTCTTCTTCACCAGAATCAGATCCAGGCAGCCATCGCCCAGGTGACTGTAGCGGGAGATGCCATTCGGACTCCTGGCGCAGGCGCAGGTGATGTTCGCCCCGCAGATCATGAAGAAGTTGCCCCGCACCACCTTCCACTGCTCGTTGCCGAGGTTCCTCATTGATGAAATGGATCCAGTGGGCAGCTGAAGCTTCCCTGGACGTGGGCGCGGCCTCAGCAGAGCAGACTCACTGGGGGCTAGTTGGGGATCCTCTGCTTCCTCCGGCTGAAGGTGCTCCGGCTCTCTGGATTCCTCATGAGTGAACAGAGATGATCGCTGTTCGTGAATGCTGCTGGCAAAGCTGCAGCGCTGGCAATTGGCATAGCAGACGGAGGGCACCGACTCGCCCAGCGAGCACACGCTATCCGGACTCTGCGGAATCTCCTCCTGCGGCGTCGTCAGCAGCAGATCCGGCTCCTCCAGCATTCTGAGTTCGGCGTCGTAGCCACGATTGCTTAGGAAGGCCTTGACGCCACTGTATTCGTAACGCCGCGGCCCCATCCAACGGTAGTTCTCACTCTGGGCGGCCACATCCCCCAGGTAGCCGTAGCTCAGGACGCTGGCACAAAACCTGATCAGCGACTGTCCATTGCTGACACTGCACACGTCCAGGCCGCGGTGCTGACCCAGGATCACATGGATCGCTGCAGTCCTCACGTCCGCCGTGCCATGCATACTGTAGGCTATGGTGTCGGTGCTGCCAGCGGGAATGACGCCCACCGGCAGTGCCGGTCTTGGAATGTAAGGCGGCCGCTGTTCGTCCAGTCCCAGCTCTCTCATCTGCCGGAATATCAGTCCGTTGATCACCTCCGCCACGGTTCCATCGCCTCCGACACAGCAAACCGCATCGTACACTCCCAGGTCGTGGCTCAGCAGTATGTCCTTCACCTGGTTTGCCCTTTGCGTGGTGATGCAGGTGGCATCCACACCAGCGAGCTGGAAAATGGGCTTCACATGGCGTTCGTAGGTCTGAGATCCCGCTTTGCGACCGCCATATGGGTTGATGAAAACCAAAAGACGACGCACTCGCATCCTGGCTGGTGAGGAGTTCTGCAGACGGATTTGCAGCTCCTGATCCCACTGCCTCACTATGTAGGGATCTGAGTTGAAGAAGGTGAGCCTCCTCAGTTCCCAGCGATTGCAATCCGTTTGCGATTTGCTCAATCGCATGGCATAGTTAATGGTCAGGTACTGACTGCTTGGCTTCGCAGGCGCAACATCACCACTGCATCTGGAACTGCGTTCCGAACCCGGAGGTGATGGAGGCTTCAATGAGCTCAACTTGGTGTCCCCGCTCCTTATGCTGACCACATCGTCCAGATGGAGCACATGACTTTGCGGCCCATAGGAGGAGATCGCTCCATTCTGAGGGAGCGAGTCTGGTGGCAAAGGAGCCTTAGTCTCGTTGCTCCGTGATGGCTGCTTGACCTTCTGCAGACGCTCCCACACCAACTGCTGCCCGTGGAGCAGGACCCGGTAGCTCTTCTTCTTCAGCTGGAAGTTATTCAGCAAAACATCGTGGGCGGAGGTGGAGCCGGGTGCGAACTTTGAGGCACTCGTGGCGGTGACGGGGGCCACAAACTCCGAGTTCGAGGTGGACGAACCCCCTGCTGGCTGCTTGGTCTGCGTCATCTCGACTGCCCGTCGTCTCCGTCTCCGGCAACGTCGTCGGCTTGGTCGGCACTGTGAGGAGAAAACAGGTTTCAATTAGAAATACAGTGAAACTTTAGTAACTTATATTAAGGTAAAGCAAAAATGAAAACTTTAACTGTGCAATTAAATAAAGTAAAAGTTGGAGAGTCTTACAGTTTTTTTTAAAGCAGAAGGACTTCCCATTTCTACAAACACTCGCCAGTTAATACTAGTTTAGCCTATTAGTTGTTTGATTAAAAAGGTTTTTTAAAATTTTTTTTAGTTTTAAAAATAAATATTTCAAATGTTAAAGCTAACTGAATGATATTACAGGATTAATATTAATTAATTCATTTAAAAAGTTTTTTATTGCTTAACCATAAATTTGATAAGAGAAATTTACAAATAATAAATAAAGTTTTTTATACAAAAACTTTGTTTGCGAAATAGTAATTGAAAATTAACAGATAAAAATGTAAAGTGTCTGGTCGCCAATTTCCAAAGTCACTTTATTTAGTTGAAGATTCAACCAAGGTGCATGGGAAAGTTAGCTTTAGGAATACTCTACTGTATTTGAAATCGCAGTCAGTGAGGCAAACAGTGGAGGAGGAAGAGGAGTTGGGAAATGGTAGTTACTCCTCACAATAAATCTGAGTTACGACGCTCCATTCTCTTTTGCATTTAGCGTAAACTTTTCAACTCTTAATTACTTACTGAGAGATGTCGATAATGAAAATAGGACGGAAGCAGAGGTGACTCAATCAACAAGCCGACGACATTTTCAAAGTTCAGTCAAAAAACACCCCTTGTCCTGATTGTTTTTGTCATTAACATAGACCCGATAACTATTCAATGAAAACTCTAAGCCCAAACATCTTTTTTGAAAATGGTGTTTCTATGACTTTGTGGTTAATGGGTCGTAAAGACAGTTGTAACGCTATAAAAAAAACCATAAAACAGGGTTATGATAGGTACATGATATATTAAGTAAAATCTTTAGAATAAAAATCGTTTTTGTAAAGTATAAAAATATTTTAAAATATACTAAAAAACAAATTATAAGAAAGTATAAGCACTAACTCTGTAAATCATTTGAAATTCCAAGACCACACACATTCACAT